TTTCTCTTTCCTGACATAAGTTTTCTGCAATTTCAGCTTCTCAAAACCATAAAATGTTTCAGGAAAAAAAAATGCCGATTCCAACCCTGTAATTTTCTCACTGGGAATGAGCCGAGGCCTCGCAGGCCAGCTGTGCTGGACGAGTGGGCGACAAGATGCCGGGTTCCGGATGCTTCCACAGCGCAGGGTGCCCCAGCTCGCCCCAGAAAGACGTGAGCATCTCCAAGCACTCTCTGTAGAGGACAGTGTGGACAGGCGGACTCACACGTCAGTGTTAAACCGAACAGTAACATGCCCTGGGCTCAGCTTTAACAGGTAAATAACCGACAATGAAAATGAAATCCCCTTGCTCCCCACTCTTCTGGTTGGTTCCTTCGGTTACCAGGGAATTCAGTTTTGACCTTTCCTTCAGTCTGGGGCTTCTCTTGGCCCCGATCTGAGGGCCAGCACTTGCTAAAAAGCCACTCACAAGCGCCCACAATTTGTCTCTGGTGCAGAGACTCAGGAGCAGATGCTCCTCTGCTTCTCTGGGCAGCTGGCAAACCGGAGACCCCTCTGGGGGGAGTCCCTTCCCCCTGCCATGAGGGGCCCTCTGCCAGGGCTGGGCACAGGCCTCGTCCTAGTGGGCATGGGGACTGCTTCTCAAAAACAGACCGCCCCCCAGTCTGTATTTGGAAGGGCAGAACTCATAGGCAGACCCCAGGGAGATGAGAAAAGAAACCAACTTGTCTCCTGCCAGATTCCGGCCTGGCCTCGGTGGACTTGTGTGAGAACCACAGGCTGCCTTCCTCACGGACCCCAGGCCTTGTTAACCCCTCATCCCTTGGCTTTCATCTCCAGTGATGCCTCCTCTGGGAGCCTTCCGGCCCCTCCTGCAGCTGTTCTGTGCTGTCGGAGCCCCCTGCACGTTTCCTTCATCGTTGTCTGTAACTGGGCGCTTATGTGTGTGGTCACCTGATGGACCTCGGCCTCCCCTGCTGGCCTGTGCATTCCACCCTTTACTACCTTCTGTCCCCAGTGCCTGCACACAGGAGGGACTCAACAGAAACCTGTTTGTTTAGAAAAGTTAATACGGGGGGCTGGGGTACCAAGGTCGAGGCAGATAAAATGCAGAGATGACCCGCTAAGGGGCTGAGACATCAGGTGAGGGGCTGGGCCGGTGGAGGGCCACGCTCAGAGGGACCCTACTGAGATCAGGTCTGACACCCACAAAACCTGAGTTGCTCAGACTGAAGGCCCCATGGGAAGCTGAGAAAATCTGTATTTGGGGTAAACAAGGAAACTTAAGGTCGGCTGGGCTGGACAGAGCAGGGAGGCAGAACACAGAGCCGAGCATCAGGACAGTGTCACGCCCACATCAGGGGATGAACCCACGTGGGCTGGCAGAGGACATGTGGCCGGCTGGGGTCCACCTAGCTGTTGATTTTGGGGGACCACGAGGTTTCCCCCCAGGGGGGCCGCAGAGCCCCGCCTTTGCTGGCTGGGTCTGCACAGTCACCCAGGCCTCTGTGAACGGGCTGTGGCTTTTCACTTGGGCTCTAGAACAACCATGCATGTTAGAAGGATAGACACGTGCACTTTATGGACTGCCCCCAACCGGGATCTAAACCCCAGGAACGGGTCTCTGTGACACCCCTTCTTGGAACATGAGACAGACCTAGGAACCGCATCGATATTCCACTGGGTTATTTCAGAAGGTGGAGCACGGGAGTTTTGGGGTTGCCAAGGCTAAGGGTCACGTCCGGGCTCCCCTCTTACTAGCAGCAGCATCTTGGCCAAGCTGCGTGACCTTTATGAGCCCGTGTTTTCAACTGTACAATGTAAGGTGGATGTGGCGGGATTCAACGAGAGGGTGTCTGTAAATGAGCACGGTGCCTGGCACACGGGGGGCTTGGTTTTGGGTGGAGTGGCTCCTGGGACGCCATGCAACGGGTACACACCGAGAAGGCTGTGTGGTGGGTGCCTGTGCCATATCAACTGCTAAAATAGAGTGAGGGCCACCCCTGGCTTTTACAGATAACCTTGTACAATTCTAGGTTTCAAAACCCTGGAGTGGAGACATGGAAACTGGGCCTGTCTCACCATTTGGTGGATGGCATCTCTCGTGTGCTTTCCCAGCCAAACACCTGACTGTGCAAAGTGGGGTTTCAAGAGCAAAGAAGCCACTAGAGTTTGCTAATTCCAGCTGCAAAGGGGCTGGCAGCTGCTTTCCACACTGGGAACTTCCTGGACTCAGGCTCTGGAAACACAGGGATGGGAATGCTTCTCATTTAGCACTGCACCCTCAAAACCACTTTGGAGGCAAGTGGTCCCTCAGCTGGGCTGCAGCTGTTTTCTGCCGTCCAGGCTGGGTGGGCTGTGGGGAGAGGCGCAGGCCCCTTCCGCGTCTGGCTGGCCCTCAAGGATGCCGCCTCTGGCAGGTTGCGGCTGGGCCCCGTCGCGGGAAGCCTGGTGAGCAGGCAGCACAGGGTCAGCCTTTCCAAATCAGAAGCCTGAAGGCTGGGCCGCCACTCCGGGCTGACGTCAAACCATGAAACTGGCAGAAGGGCCCCAATCCCAACAAAAACTGCCTGCCGCCTTCACTCCTTGGCTTCCTGTCCAGCACGGCTCAGCAGGATAGCAGGCAGATGCTGCAACCATTTGGGTAGACCTGCCCCTACAGGGAACATGGAAATCCCACGTGCTCTTCTCTGCATGGACCCAGGAGACTGAAGGCTGGCCTGGAAGTTTGGCATCGAGAGGCCAGGGAATGGTGGTTCTCCCTCGACCTGCCGCCCCAGCTCGTGGGCCTGGGGACAGAGCTCCTGTGGCCGGGCACCTGTGACAGGGAAGAGCTTCTAGGCTCCGAGGCTCCCCCCTCCAGGGATCAACAGCTGGGCGCTCGTTAAGAGAGAAGCACAAGCTGCCTGCCAGGCCAGCACTTCATCAGGAGGTGAGTTATTTCAGCGTCGCAGAGATTCGGGCAGGCAGGCTGGGCTTCAGGCTTTTACTGTCAGGCAGCATAAAAAATGGGGACTGGCACACTTGCCTCCGCAGGCCTGCCAGGGCTGCACCGAAGGGGAGCAGACACCCGGGAGGGTCTGCCCATCACTTATTGACTGGAACTGCGTGGCTACCCGACAGCCAGGCTAAAAGCCCCTGCGTTTCTGAGACAAGAAGACATGTCGTGTGCACCATGCAGGAGATTGAGGGGGTAGGGACGGAGGGGCTGAGAGAGGCCAAGAGAAAAGACACGAGCACCCGGCAGACCCCGAGCCTCTGGGGGAAAGTGCAGAGCCGAGGCCCCGGGGCCACGCTCAGGTGGGCATCTGCATACGCAGGCCCGGTTCTGATAATGTGGGTCTCTGCTGATTTCGGTTTTAGGAGAACAAGTGTATGGCTCATTTGTCCGTTTAGCTGTTGGCTGTGCTTCCCTAAAAATGAAAAAAAGGCGTACATAGCTACACCTGGAAGAGACCTTTCACCCAAAATGCAATTGTAAGTATACGTGTGTTTGGGCACACACAACAACACAGACAGAAATGTGCACAGGCAGGCAGCATGTGAGTGTACACACGAGCACACAAACACACAACCCTGCACTTCAGCCCTCAGAGCCAGCATGAGCCCAGCCTTCAGGGGGGGCTGCAGGCTGTTCTCGGCTTCTGGAGAAAGCTCCGTCTGGGTTTCCCAGCTACGAGCCTGGCAACGGCACAGCACCTGCTCGGCTATGCAGCCAACCTTAAACGGGGCTCAGAAGTAGCTCAGAAAGGGCAGTCGAGCCCCACAACCCCGGGCCGGGAGACGAGCAGGTGTCGCGTGGAAGAGGGTCTAAGTGAGGTGGCTTCGGGTGACCCTGCTGCCGGGGCCTCAGGAATGCCAACAGGAGATGGAAGTAATGGATGCTCGTGGAGGAGGGCGGGCTTGCAGGCGGGCTGAGGGGGCCTCAGCCACAGGCATGGAGACTGGGCTGGTTAACCCTTTGCTGGGGAACGCAGAAGCTGAAAACTCTGAGAGAGGTGGGGGCACCCAAGGAAACCTCCACCTCCAGCCCTGCAGGGACGGTGGCCAGTGGCACTCCATCTCCCTGGCACCACGGTGGCTCATGCCCTGGCACATCGCTTCCGTCACGACCCATCAATCTAGGACTTAACAAGAGTTTGGTCAGGTGCCCCTGAAATATGATGGGCGAGGGTTCTGGATGGGACCTTGTAGGAACAGCGAAGGGGACCGAGGGTCCCCAAATGGGGGTGAAGACCAGGGTCACCGGGGCCCTCCAGACCCATGGGCTCATGCCACACTCTCAAGGCCACTGCGCCGTTCCTGCTCGGGCCCTGCTCCTCTGGCTGCATTTTGGGGCCGTGTTGTTCAGGAAATAAGCTTGGTGTCTTTACTCCCGGGGTCTCATGCAGCGCAGTGAGGGGCTCACGGCAGCTGAGAACACGGGGGACCTGCTCACACGTCTCACTCCAGGCTCCCTGCTCACGGGTTCTCTCTGTGCCATGTTTGCACTTGTGCAAGTTACAGGAGGGCAAGATGCGACTCGAGCACATCCTGACAGACTCTCAAAAGGGCGGCAAGATGAGCCCCTGGTCACAGACGACTGGACTGCACCAAACATTTAAAGAGGAAACTGGTATGCTATGGAGGAAAAAAAAATGAGCAGAGACATGATTTTCTTGCAGGGCTTCAAACAACCACGTCTGGAGACCCCTCTTCGTGACACCTAAGACTGGAGTGATGGTGGGGTGGATTTAGGCTCGGCCCACCTGCCGTCCATCCCCTCCGGCTCTGCAGTCAGGGAAGGCCTTTCAGAGGCCAGCCTGCAAAAGGAGGGAGTGCTTCTCTGCTGGAGCCAAACCAGCCGGCCCCTGGGCGATGTCCCGTTAGAGCAGACGCAGAACCCCCAACAGGCAACGCCCCCAAACACAGTGGCTAGGAGTGCTGGGTGTCGGCAGTCTCGGCGTCGAGGGATCACAGGGCTCCCCAAAGCACCCTGCACCGTGTCACTCAGCCAATACCTGACGGGCTTTGGGCGGCGGAGGGGGTGGACGATGAGCTGGTGCCTCCCGAGTCGCAGTGGCTGGTGCTCCCGCTGCCGCTGGGGCTCCCGCTGGCAGACGGCGACGGTGAAGACAGGGACGGTGAGCTGTGCTGGTTTATGCACTGGGCCACGGCGAAGCCTGCGAGACAGGGCGGTGACGTGACCAAGGAGGAGGAAACAAGCCAGCCTGGCAGGAGGGGGTGCTGCCATGCCCACCGTGTGGGACCCTGGGGGGTAAGCCCTCACCTCAAAGATGGGGCTGGGGGCCTGAACATAAAGGCTTCGCTGACCAACCCAAACCCAGCTCCTTGCAAATCTGGGTCTGTTCCCTGGAATGAGCTGACCTCGCCAGTCATGGACTGGCCTGGATGCACTTCGAAGCTGTTTCAAGGAAAAGGGTGCAGCCAGCCACAGAGCCCAGGGCAGGCCCGTGGCCGTAAATCTGAGTGCCTGATGCTGGCTCAGCAGTGCGCAGGCTGTGCCCTTGAGGGGGACACGCAGCCTCGGGCCTTCATAGGTGTCTTGGCGAAGTTCACACAGGGATGTGGGACATACAGCAAAATCTCGGGGCCTTTGCTAACGTGCCCGAGTTCTGCCAAAGGCATGGTGGGAGGGGAGAGCCCTCAAGACTCTCTCTGCCTAAGAATTTGCTCTGCCCTGGCGGGTCTGGCGAGTTTGGCACAGGAGGAAGGAGAGCTCTGGCGAGAAGCTACCGATTCCAGAGTTCCACGTGGTCCGCAGAGCAACTCCGGGTTTGGGGATGGGGACCCCAGCACGGGGAAGTGGACGAGCCCCACGGCTGGAGACACCCACACCTGGGCAAACTCTGTCTCACCACGTAGATGCACTGGAGCACGCGCCCAGGGTCGTTTCCCAACCGCTAGCTGGGGGTGTCATGGCCAACTTCTCATCACCCATGCGGTGGGCACACCATGAGAGAATGTCCATCGGGCCCCTGCACAGGGTGTGGCAGGTGGGAGATGGATGCGTGCTTTACCATGAAGGGGCCCTCAGAACGAGCCCGCCCGGAGCCCCGCATCCAGCGGATAGGCGCTTTCTGCACACCGTGACTTCTGCCCTTTTCTCAGTCTGCTTTTCTAAAGGGCCAAGGCTTCTGACTTTATGCATTAAACACACGAAGGCTCACATGGAACAACGGTAAAGTGCTCTGGGCACCTGCTGCTCTGCCCCATAGTTCAGAAGCAGCATTAAGTTGGGCGGGGACAGGGGGCAAGTGTTCCTTCCAGCTGAGAGTGGAGACTCCAACCCTCCAACTGAGATAGGCAGGAAGCTAGATATGAGCTGGGAGCAAGGTCACTCCACCAGGCGCAGCGTCCTAATTACCGGGCAGTGGCTCTTCAGACGTGCAGGACTCCCCGCAACCCTGACCGAGAGTAGCCCCAAGCCTCATCATACCCTCATCTGCAATGTGGTTTTGACCCTCCCTGTGGGGGATCACCACCATGACAGTTCCGGAGATGCCTATGTAAGGAAAACTCTCTCCCTCCCGAGGTGGGGGTGGAGACAATGCCCCAACTGGCACATGTTCCAAGCCGCTCACTGGCCCCGTGGACCCAACCTTCCAAAATCACTGACCATCACAATTTTGGCGCAGTTGCTCCCTCGAGCCTGCCCGCCCCTCCCCTTGGGGTGTACTTTGGCTTTGCTGATAAATCCTCCTCTGTTAAAACTTCCACTGTGTGTCCGCTCTCACATTCTTCTGTGTCTGTGGACCAAGAACCTGGGACTCCACCACACTGATCTGACCGGTGCCGGTAACACAACCACATCAGACCTCTCTGCCCACTCAGCGCACTTGTCCCAGCCAGCCCCAACCTCATTCACGCCACCGGCACTGCCTGAACCCGGTGGTCCAGCCCCCACTGACACTTCTTGCAGAAGGTTCTCCAGGCCCCGAGCTTGCCCTTCTCAGATCTCAGGAAGGCGGCAGGGTGTCGAGCAGGGGTCGGCAAACTACGGCCTGCTGACTGTTTGGTAAATAAAGTTTTACTGGAACACAGCCACGGTCCTGTGCTTACATACCGTCTGGGCTGCTTTCGAGCTACGTCTGTGGTGCTGAGGAGCTGCCACAGAGGCTGTGTGGCCAGCGAAGCCTGAGATATTTTATTCTCTGGCCTTCAACAGAAACAGTGTGCAGAGCCTGGCAGAGGATGGAGCACAGGCTCTGGGATCAGGAAAGCCTGGTCTCTGCACTCCCCTGAGCCTCCCTCCCTTCACCCACCGGTGGGTGCGCACAGGGTCTGGCTGGGGGCGGGGGGCATGCAAGGGGACCTGCTGCTGTCCCCGCTTAGGACTTAGTGGGACCCCAAACCTGGCCACTGCGGAGGGGCTATTTCGTACTAACGTTTGGGTGAAGTTCCTTTGTCTAAGGATCAGCTCCTTAACAGCCGCGTCTCCATTTATACCCCGGCCAGGCCCTCCCGGTCTCAGGCAGTGTGATGCACGAGGACGTGACGCCTGGTGGGAGCACGGCGGGGAACTTCGCAGCTGCTCTTTCGCAGAGGGTGGGACTCCCAGACCCCGCCTCCCCCGTATGCCAAGAGCACACCAGGATTACCGCGCTGGGGTTCTCAGGAAGAGGCTTTATGTGGTACACTGTGTGTGGCGAAGGGGCCCTCGGATTAACCACGGCAAACGTGGAGGCAGAGCCAACCCCAGGCAGGAAGACTCCCAGGGGCCATCCGCCACAGCCCCGCAGAACCCGCTTGGCAGCTGCCTCACCACGTCAAGTGCTGACCTCCAGTTCACAAGCTGCTCACTTGCCTCGAAAACAAATCAGCCCTCAGCTAACCAAAATGTCAAGGTGGCTTTTCCCAACTGCTTATTTATCAGAGCCATAAACAGAGGGGCCGGCGAGCGTGGTAACAGAGCTGGGAGGAAGCCTTTTATGCTCCCGACAAAACACCCCAGGCGGAACGGATGGATGATGTGGCTGTCACCAAGGTGGTCACCCGCCCCTCCCTAAGACACGCGTCTTCTCTCTCACGCTCTTTAAAGCCCTGGTTTATTATCGTAAGACACCCGGGTGGGGCAGCAGATGAGATGCTGCAACTGCTGTCAGGATTCTAAAGCTCCTTCATTTTGGGAATGGATTAGGGGTTGAGCCACAGACTGTGCATCTTTTGCATAAATTACGCAATAAATACTGCGTACCTTCTGCACTCATTGAGAGTTAAATAGAAGAAAGAAAATCACCAATCACCTCTGAAACCACCCGTTCGCAGGGTCTGTCAGAGCAGAGGCAGCTGAAAACATCTTTCCCTCCCCTGCTGCGTCTCAAGATCCACCTCCCGTCTTTCCCCGCCTTTCCCCGCTCCTCTCCCCTCCCCCACGGCACTGGGGAGCTAGACAGGCTGGGCGATGTTGTTTTGTTTTTGCTGGGTGCCCAGACTTCCCCTGCAATTTCGAGGGCTCCGACCCAAATGGAGGTGGCGACCACTGTGAGAGTCAGTCTGACAGGTCCGAGAGTCAGGCAGGCTCTGGAGAGAACTCAGGACAGGCGCCTGCGGCCAGGGTGCCTGCCCTGTTCTCGCTTCACCCCCACGGGACTGTTCTTGATGAACTAACTTTGGCGGAGGTGCCACGGGGCTTTCTGGGCGCGAGTCAAACACTCATGGACTGCCAAGTACTTGCAGACACGCCAGGGATCATGGGACAATGGCACAGGCGGAGCAGCCTCCCTGAGATCTCCCGCAGATAAAATTCCTGGCTCTCCCTGCGTATGTCTCAAGAACAGCCTGCGAAATGTGTATCAAAGGCCGGCCGGAGTTTCAGACCATCTGACCGATTCCACACCTAGAAATTTATGCCGGGGAAGGCACTGTGGGTCGATCCACATGGCGAACTACGTGGATGTTCAAAGCGCTGGTGTGGGTGACAGGGAGCTGAAGACCATCGAGATATCCAACAATCAGGGAAAGGCCAAGTGAATTCTAATACGTCTAGATGGTCAAATTCTCTGCTGCTGTTAAAAATGGTGGTATAAAAGATTAAGTGTGGAGGGAAATGCTCCAGACAGAGTAAATTAAAAAAGGTTAGAAAAAGCATGTCCCATATGTTCCCACTGTTGTAAAAAAAAAAAAAAAAAAAAAAAAAAAAAAAAAAAATTCAGGCTCTGCCTCCCTCATGGAGCAGAGCAAACATTCTGGAGGGACCAAAGCTGAAGTCTCAGAAGAACCAGGTGATTTTATCATGGTGAGTTTCAGTTTTTTTTTTTTGTGCTCGTCTGAATTTTCCAGGATGCCTACTACAAATATTATTTTAAACCAGAAAAAAAGGCAGGATGGAGGAAGGACACAAGGTATGTGGGAGCTGGACAGGCTGAAGCTCCCAGGTCCCTAAGACGCCGCCAGGATCTGCCCTGACCTCCGAGGCTCTCCCCCAGACGCGACAAGAACCTCCCACAGCTGGGGCCAGGCAGCTGCTCTAGCAGCACGCGGGCCTGCGCCCATGGTGAAACGCGTCCCCTGCTTTCCAGGAGCCCCAGGCTCACAGGACCCGGCGGGGTCTTCCCGCTGCCCTCTGGCCCCATTCTGCCAGTTATTCTGGGAAGATGAGCTCGCCAGTAACTCTCTGGCATTTGTCAAGTGCAAAAAGACCACGAAAGGTCAGCCTTCTATTTTAGGCCTGCTGACAGAGGGAGCACCGAGCTGGGAGTCAGAGCGCCCAGTCTGAGCCCAAGCTCTGCCCAAAAGGTTCTGTGACCTTGGACAACCCCCTCTCCTCTACGGGCCTCCACGTCTCCGTGTGAAAAACGAGACAGTGAGTGAGGATCTCTTGGCTTACATGGTCAATAGTTTTCTTTCACTATAAATCTGAATTTGATTTGAACCCTATGACCTTTTTGGGAGGTGGGCAAGCAGAAGACACTGAAAACACACAGTGAATATACTTTGCCCACGCCCTTCTCTTTGGATGAAACACCCACCCAGGCTCCCCCCGCGGAGGAGCAGGCTGCTATGTGAATCGGGGTCCTGAGCAGGCCGACAGCAGCCCAGGCTTGCAGCAGAGTTTTGCTTTGCTCACATCATGTCTGTTTGTTTCAGGTACCACCATTTACACTGCGAGATTTTACATACAAATCGGACCCGGTTCCTTCCCCTCCCCACCTTGACTGGC